CCACCTGCCCTGTTTGTCTGCACAGGTGGTTGACGAGTTTCCCTATTCCTAGTTGCCTTTAGATGTTTGCTTGCACATGTGCTTAGTAGATTGTTCTTCGACCAAGATTTCATCACCAACCTGCCCGACACGTCTACACAGGTGGTTGACCAGCTTCCCTGTTCCTAGTTGTCTTTGGATGTTTGCATGTAATCGACCAAGACTTCGTCGACCACCTGCCCGACATGTCTACGCAGGTGGTTGACCAGTTTCCCCTTTCCTCTGTTACGTTCCGATGTTAGCAGGTAGTTGTGTTTAATGTAGAGCTGTCTGACGACGATTTTCCAACCCACCTGCCCGATTTGTGTACACAGGTGGTTGGCCAGTTTCCCTGTTCCTAGTTGCCTTTAGATGTATGCATGTACATGTGCTAGGTAGATAGTTCTTCGACCAAGATTTTGTCAGCCACCTGCCCGACATGTCTACACAGGTGGTTGACCAGTTTCCCTGTTCCTAGTTGCCTTTGGATGTTTGCGTGTCCATGTGTTTTGTAGATAGTTTTTCGACCAAGACTTCGTCGACCACCTGCCCGACATGTCTACACAGGTGGTTGGCCAGTTTCCCTGTTCCTAGTTGCCTTTGGATGTTTGCATGTACATGTGTTTGGTAGATAGTTTTTCGACCAAGACTTCGTCGCCCACCTGCCCGACATGTCTACGCAGGTGGTTGACCAGTTTCCCTGTTCCTAATTGCCTTTTGATGTTTGCATGCAAATGTGCTTGGTAGATAGTTTTTCGACCAAGACTTCGTCGCCCACCTGCCCGACATGTCTACGCAGGTGGTTGACCAGTTTCCCTGTTCCTAATTGCCTTTTGATGTTTGCATGCAAATGTGCTTGGTAGATAGTTTTTCGACCAAGACTTCGTCGCCCACCTGCCCGACATGTCTACGCAGGTGGTTGACCAGTTTCCCTGTTCCTAATTGCCTTTTGATGTTTGCATGCAAATGTGCTTGGTAGATAGTTTTTCGACCAAGACTTCGTCGCCCACCTGCCCGACATGTCTACGCAGGTGGTTGACCAGTTTCCCTGTTCCTAATTGCCTTTTGATGTTTGCATGCAAATGTGCTTGGTAGATAGTTTTTCGACCAAGACTTCGTCGCCCACCTGCCCGACATGTCTACGCAGGTGGTTGACCAGTTTCCCTGTTCCTAATTGCCTTTTGATGTTTGCATGCAAATGTGCTTGGTAGATAGTTTTTCGACCAAGACTTCGTCGCCCACCTGCCCGACATGTCTACGCAGGTGGTTGACCAGTTTCCCTGTTCCTAATTGCCTTTTGATGTTTGCATGCAAATGTGCTTGGTAGATAGTTTTTCGACCAAGACTTCGTCGCCCACCTGCCCGACATGTCTACGCAGGTGGTTGACCAGTTTCCCTGTTCCTAATTGCCTTTTGATGTTTGCATGCAAATGTGCTTGGTAGATAGTTTTTCGACCAAGACTTCGTCGCCCACCTGCCCGACATGTCTACGCAGGTGGTTGACCAGTTTCCCCTTTCCTCTGTTACGTTCCGATGTTTGCAGGTAGTTGCATTTAATGTAGAGCTGTCTGACGACGATTTTCCAACCCACCTGCCCGATTTGTCTACACAGGTGGTTGGCCAGTTTCCCTGTTCCTTGTTGCCTTTAGATATATGCATGTACATGTGCTAGATTGATAGTTCTTCATCCAAGATTTCATCAGCCACCTGGCCGACATGTCTACACAGGTGGCCTGCCCGACATGTCTACACAGGTGGTTGGCTAGTTTCTCCCATCCTCCGTTTCCTTTCGATGTTTGCAGGTAGTTGCATTTAATGTAGAGCTGTCTGACGACGATTTTCCAACCCACCTGCCCGATTTGTCTACACAGGTGGTTGGCTAGTTTCCCTGTTCCTGGTTGCCTTTAGATGTATGCGTGTACATGTGCTGGGTAGATAGTTCTTCGATCAAGATTTGGTCAGCCACCTACTCGACATGTCTACATAGGTGGTTGACCAGTTTCCCTGTTCCTAATTGCCTTTTGATGTTTGAATGCAAATGTGCTTGGTAGATAGTTTTTCGACCAAGACTTCGTCGACCACCTGCCCGACATGTCTACACAGGTGGTTGGCTAGTTTCCCCCATCCTCTGTTTCCTTCCAATGTTTGCAGGTAGTTGTGTTTATTGTAGAGCTGTCTGACGACGATTTTTCAACCCTCCTACCCGATTTGTGTACACAAGTGGTTGACCAGTTTCCCTGTTCCTAGTTACCTTTAGATGTATGCATGTACATGTGCTAGGTAGATAGTTCTTCGACCAAGATTTCGTCAGCCACCTCCCCGACATGTCTACACAGGTGATTGACCAGTTTCCCTGTTCCTAGTTGCCTTTGGATGTTTGCATGTACATGTGTTTGGTAGATAGTTTTTTGACCAAGACTTCGTCGACCACCTGCCCGACATGTCTACACAGGTGGTTGGCTAGTTTCCCCCATCCTCTGTTTCCTTTTGATGTTTGCAGGTAGTTGTATTTAATGTAGAGCTGTCTGACGACGATTTTCCAACCCACATACCCGATTTGTCTACACAGGTGGTTGGCCAGTTTCCCTGTTCCTACTTGCCTTTAGATGTATGCATGTACATGTGGTAGGTAGATAGTTCTTCGACCAAGTTTTCATCAGCCACCTGCCCGACATGTCTACACAGGTGGTTGACTAGTTTCCCTGTTCCTAGTTGCCTTTGGATGTTTGTATGTACATGTGCTTTGTAGATAGTTCTTCGACCAAGATTTCGTCCGCCACTTGCCCGACATGTCTGCACATGTGGTTAGCCAGTTTCTCCCATCCTCTTTTAACTTCCGATGTTTGCATGTAGTTGTGCTTAATGTAGAGCCATCAGACGAGGTTTTCGCTGACGACCTGCCCAATTTGTCTACACATGTGGTTTGCCAGTTTTCCTGTTCCTAGTTGCCTTTAAAAGTTCGCATGTACATGTGCTTAGTAGATAGTTCTTCGACCAAGATTTCGTCAGCCACCTGCCCGACATGTCTATATAGGTGGTTGACCAGTTTCCCCTTTCCAATGTTACCTTCCGATGTTTGCAGGTAGTTGTGTTTGATGTAGAGTTGTCTGACGAGGAATTCCCTTCCCCCCTGCCCTATTTGTCTGCACAGGTGGTTGGCAAGTTTCCCTATTCCTAGTTGCCTTTAGATGTTTGCATGCACATGTGCTTAGTAGATAGTTCTTCGATCAAGATTTCGTCACCCACCTGCCCAACATGTCTACACAGGTGGTTGACCAGTTTCCCCTTTCCTCTGTTACGTTCCGATGTTAGCAGGTAGTTGTGGTTAATGTAGAGCTGTCTGAAGAGGAATTCCGTTCCCACCTACCCGATTTGTCCGCAAAGGTGGTTCGCCAGTTTCCCTGTTCCTAGTTGACTTTAAATGTTTGCATGTACATGTGCTTAGTAGATAGTTCTTCGACCAAGATTTCGTCAGCCACCT